GGCGGCGGGAGCCCACGTGGGACCGGGGGGTGCTGGGGAACGGGCTGTGCCGCTCCTCGGAGCGTGTCCTCTGGGTGTGGGATAGCACTAACTCGTGTGTTGCACATTCATACTTACCTCGACCTGGTTATTTAAACAGTCTGATTATGTTTTAGTACACTACCCAGTGGTGATGTAAAACTGGTCTCACTGCTCATAATACCATCCTGTAAGTCTTAATTCCTGTTCGCTTTGATGTACAAATTAAGTAATCTCAGTATTATCTGTGGTGTAGAGTAATATGCAGAGGTTAATTCTCAGGAATCTGGCAGTTTTAGGTTGCATGAGCTCATAAAATATCCCAAACCATTCCCTCAGATCCCAAACATTTCTAATTTCCATACTGTAAATGTCAGGAGTACTTCTGAACACTGCCTTGAATCCATTAGTAGGATTTTATGTGACTTGTTTCTTACAGGAGCTGGTTTTTGTGGCTGAGTTATGGCCTATTTGATTGATTAAATGCTTCAAATGGTGGGGCTGTGCAGATGTGACTGGGAGGGGAAATCACAGATTTCCCTGGAGCTGTCTGCTCAGGACGCCATCCCCTCAGAGAGCTCAGACTTCCAGAGGGACACTTCTGTGTGTGATCTTATCAACCATGATATGGTAGAAAGTCTATTCCATCTCTCTGGCTGGGCACCAGTACACCTCACCTGTCAGAACAGGTGTTACTGGAGCTCTTCTCACAGATGCTAAAATACTTTTCCTTTAGGAAATGGTGGATCAACTCTTCATGCTCTTCGGTGCTTGGAAGAGCAGTATGGTGATCAGTGGACTTCCTTCACTGTGCTGCTAATCCATTCTGGTAAATTTTATATATTTTACTATAAAGTGATACCTTTTCTTTTGTTCTTCCTTAAAATAGTAAAGTGGCAGAGAAGCTGGAGTTCCAAAATACTGTTCCCTGAGAAAAGTAACCCGTGTGTCTGATAATTTGAAATTGGCCTGGTGCTTGCCAGAAGTTACTGTCACTTCAACATTTCTTCTCAGCACTAAAGTTGCGCAGTCAGTGAGAAAGATGTGATTCACAGGTGTGATTTCAATTTCTGCCTTGAAACATCCATTTAAGGAACACAACCCTCCGTCAGGGGACCCTGGGCTCCTCATGCCTCTGGGCAGGCTGAATACTGCCTTCTCATCCACTGAGTCAGGCCACTTCCAGATGTGGGAGAGCATCAGTGCTGCAGAGGAGAAAGAAACCAAGTGATAACAAGTGTTGTGACCAAACCTTTGCCTTTTTAACCCATCAATGGCTTAAAATTCCCATCAGGAATGTGGTGATTCTCCTCCAAGCACAAAGCGGGTAATGTTTGCTTTTGTCACTTCAGCAATAGATAGCTCTGAAACAAAAAGGTAACAAAATCAATCACAGTTTTAATATGAGCTAAATAAGGCAGGCTGGGTTTTGGACATAAGGTCAGATGTGCTCTGAGACTTGGTGTATGACCAAGCTGAGAGGTTGTTAGCACTTTTGTGTACCCGTGAAATAGCTGCCTAGGTTTAGTTTTTTGCTCACTTACGTACAGTGTCTCTGTGGAACTAAAAGAGTCTTTTTCCAGGTGGTTACAGCCAGCGTTTGCCAAGTGCAAGTGCCCTGGGCAAGATCTTCACAGCCCTGCCGCTGGGCGAGCCCGTGTACCAGATGCTGGAGCTGAAGCTGGCCATGTACATCGACTTCCCCCGTCGCATGAAGCCAGGAGTGCTCGTCACGTGCTCGGATGACATAGAGCTGTACAGCACTGGAGTCACAGAAGCCATCACCTTTGACAAACCTGGCTTTACTGCCTTGGCCCACCCCTCAGATCTGGCAGTCGGGACCACGCACGGGGTGTTTGTGCTGGATCCGTCCAGCTTTTCAGGAAAGGGAGGGCTGGAGTATGGATCATGCTATCGTTTCCTGCACAAGCCTGACGTGCAGACCATGCGGCAGAGCGGTGCAGTGTGCGTGAGGAGGGGTCACCCTCAGCTCAGCTCCCCTGGCAGCTGCGGAGACTCGGCCGTGGCCTCGGAGTGTGTGTACACAGACAGTGTATTCTACATGGACCACAGCACTGCCCAGCAGCTACTGCAGTTCTATAAGCAGGTGGGCACTCTTGGCTGTGAAATAGATGCATATGGTGACTTTCTCCAGGCCCTGGGGCCTGGAGCCACCCCAGATTACACCAAAAACACAAGCAACGTCTCCAAGGAGGACCCAGGGTTGGTGGCAGTGCGGCAGCAGCTGTACTCCCTCCTGCAAGGCACGGCCCTGAATGTCATAGTCCTCAACAACTCCCAGTTCTACCACATCGGGACTACTCAGGAGTATTTGTTTCATTTTACTGCTGAGAGCAAACTGAGATTTGAGCTTGGCTTGCAGCCTGTGGCTTTTAGCATCTTCCCTGACTCAGCCAAGACCTTGGATCAGTTGAGCATCATCCAGAGCATCCTTGAGCCCGGGTGTGTGATAGGGCCTGGATCTATTGTTGAGTACTCCAGAATTGGGCCTGAAGTCTCAGTAGGGAAAGGCAGCATTGTTAGTGGGTCCTACATAAATTTCAATGTGGACATACCCTCACACTGCTTCCTGTGTTCAGTAAGTGTGAAAATGACTGATCGAGTGGAGTATGTCACCATGGTGTTCGGTGTAGGCGATGACTTGAAAAAGGGCGTGAAATTGCTGTCAGATATTCGCTCCCTCCAGTTTTTTGGAGTCAGCTTGCCACAATGCCTTGACCTCTGGAGCTTAGAGGCTTCGGACCAGCTCTTCTCCAGTAAGGGCACACGTCTGGGGCTGTGGACTGCAAGGATTTTCCCTGTTTGTTCTACTCTGAGTGAATCGGTTAGGATGTCCCTGAACATGCTGAATTCTGTGCAGCACAAGTCAGCTTTCAAACTGAGTGGCTTTCAGCTTCTGTCTGTTGAAGAAATGCTCACCTACAAAGATGTGGAAGACATGCTGAAGTTTAGGAAACAAATTTATTATGAAATCTGCCTACAAAGACAAAAAGAGAAGTCTGATTATAGAATGAACGGTACTTGATCAAACCTTTTTTTCATTTGTGGACAATTGATAACTTCCCTGCCTGTAAGAATGCTAAGGGAGAAGTGCACAGATCTCTTCTCTGATCTCATTGAAGTAGAAATGAAGGAATTGCATAACATTAATAAAGCAGCAAATGCAAATAAAGTGTTCTTTGATTAAAACAGGGAAATATTTCAGATCTAAAAACAGTATTTGGTGACCTTTTGTGGGTTGGATGTTATGTCTTGTAGCTTTTTGTCAGAATACAAAAATAGAATAGAGGAAAAAATGTCTATTTGGCTGAAAACAGCTTTAAAAGCTTTTAAAGGGTAGAATAGTAGCAGTGTGGGATAATACAACAACTTATGTTTCCCTCTTTTTATGCTGCCATTTTGCAATACAGTTTCAAACAGTAGTTAGGTGGAGGTAAAATGATTGAAAGTGCTTTTAATTCAAGACATCTAGTCCTGGGCATTAATAAATTTTTCTCTTTTGTTTCATAACTTTTTATTCTTTCCTGTTTTTTGTCAGAAGAAAAAAGATTGTCTTGAGTGATTATTCTTCTCCTTGTGACTCATAGTACTGGGGTCAACACCAGTCATCAAGACATAATGATTTATTTTTTTTCTAGTAGTTGTTGGAAGCTGGCAGTGTGATGGAGAAGCTGCCAGCTCTTTGTTACCACGGATTGACTGATGTGTGCCATGCAAAAAGAAGCACCTTGTATTTCTCTAAACTGAGCTGTTGCAGTCTTTGCTGTCCTTGGTGGGGCAGAGCAAAAGCCAGAGAGGTTTGTTGTGAGTGGCCCCACAGTTCTTATCTTCTTGACAAACCCTCTTCCCCTTCTCCCCCTTCTGCAAATAAAGTTAATATTGAAGTCCTCCTGTTTTTACTTTAGATGCCCAAAATCCAGGTCCAGACAGATAAATCTGCTGGTTTTAGGAGTATGCTGTGCAGTGTATCAGTGTGATTTGGCTGTAAATGTGATGCATCTTTTTCTCTTGAATGTCTCTGTGGGTTTTCATGTTTTATTTAATGTCTCTTGATGACAGTGTTTATCTCCCTGCTGACTGAAATCCCAAATGACACCTTTCTTATGCCACCTACGAGGCAGCAGAGTAATGTCCCCTGAGCATTACCCACCCTGCTTTAACTGGCAGTAGGTTTCTTCTTCATTAATAAACCTTCCAAGAGGAAATACAAAGAAGTTAAATGTGGAGGTTGGGAATTGCTGGAGTTGGCTTCAAAGGAATAAGAATTGCTGAGCAAATAGAGAGTCTAAAAGTCAGTATGAATTATTAGTTAAACAATGGAAGCAGTAGGTTTGGGAACACTCAAGTCCAAGATAAGCCCTTTAAGTCAGAAAGTGAAAGTAGTCATAGCGCATGGAGTTGTCATTTGTATATCATCCTGTTTGCATGGTTTATTAGTCTATTGCTGCACAAAAGATTCTAGGAGAAACAGGTTTGATGCTGACTTTGCATCTTGAGTTGGAGACCAAAGTTTGTTTGGTACAGACTTCCCTGAGGGTTGCTGTGCTGCCAGCTGAGTTCTATGAGTGTTTGGTGACAGCAAAATGCATCCTTTTAACATGGTTATCCACTTTAACTGTTACAATTGCATTTGTTCTGAATTCCAGGTATTGATTTCATCACTGAAAGCAAACTGGATAAAAATAGGAAGTGGATTTGTTTCTGGCACATAAGTATTGGGAGAATGAGGAAAAATGGTGACGGAACAACTTGTGGAAAAGGTTGCAGTAGGTTGGGCCAGCAGCAGCTGCTGTGGTTTAGGGAGCAGTGTGAATTCCAAGGCACAAAAAAAGGAGTATTATGCTGGTGGTAGCCATGGACCAGCACAGCTAGCCCCCAGGTCAGATCTTGAGGCAAAGGTTTTAATGAAAAAAGAAAGTCTATTGTAATGGAATAAGCATGGATTTACCAGATAAGAAACATTGTACTGCTTTAATTCTGAGTGTCATCCACTGCTTTCCTCTTACTCTGAACATTTTTGTCTCAAATTGAGAAGGCAGATTTCAGTCAGTGGATAACGTCAGCAGGTTTAATGGATTACTCTACAGGTATGGGAATATCTGGTGGTGCACCATTCCTCATTTTTACACTGCAATCAAGTTTAATGTAAAATGTTATGAAGAACATTACAATATATATTTTATTTATAGAAGGTTATATTAGTTATTTTCCCCTGTGATATATTCAAAAGCCACGTGGATGTGGCACTTGGAGACAGAGGTTAGTGGTGGCCTTGGCAGTGCCAGGGGAATGGTTGGACTTGATGGTCTGGGAGGGCTTTTTCAGTCCAAACGCTTCTTTGATCCTACAGTTCTCTGTATTGCAGCTATTTGTGAAGAGTGTACATTTTTAGCTATAACAAATTGCAGTCCTTACAGCAAGGGTCATGCTACAGTGTGAATACTTCTTATTAAAATCAGAATGCCTGCAGAGCAGACCCTTCCTCACAACAGTAATCCAAGGCTGAGGTATTCAATCCATGTATGTATTTTATCCTATTGCGTTTACAGCTCCAGGTAATCTTTGTATTCCACAGTCTGCTGTTAATGTAGATGACAACAATTTTCTCATGCAGCCAGCTGGGATAAGTGTGTCCCAGGGAAACCGAGAAACTTGTGCAAGGCCACCCAGTAAAACTCCACAGCAAGGTCAGTAATTTGGGGGTTGCTGGTTTTCAGTACCAGGCTCTTAAAACAAGACCATCACAGCATCCTGGCCCATGATTTTCCTGCAGTCTGAGTGATGAAGGATGCAGTCATGAGAGTGCCAGGCATGCAGGACCTCTGTGGATAGGAGTCATCTACTGAAACCTAGAGTTTGATTTTGTCTGATCCTCACAGTTTCCCAGATAGGTGCAATGTTCATGTATGCTCTAGATCATTGCCTGGCTCCATCTATCCTGAAATGCAATTTGGGCTGGTACAATCTCAAACAAACTCAAGATGAGCTTTTAATGATTTTTTTCATGTCAGCTTTCTTTATTTAATTAGTTTTGCTGTGTAGTGCGATAATAGGGCTCATAATGAACATGATTGCAATGATTTCCCTGAATGCCTTGAGCACGCGCCGTGATCAGCAGAGGTTTAGCCCTGCTGTCTGTGCTATCCTGAAACCTGAGAGGGGGTATTTCAGTGACCTTTGGTGCAGGAAACTGAAACCTGAGAAACTGGGCACTTAGCAAAGAGCACAAGGGAGGGCAGCTGAAATACAAATGAGCAGCTGAGAAGAATCTGTGCCAGAAGGATTTGGGGAGCTGACTAGAGGAAGTAAGCTCCAAGGATCAGTTGGATCTGCAGAGCGATGTTCGTGCCTTGTCAGGGTGCTTTTGCTCGAGCTCACAAGTTCCAGCCTCCTCTCGTTCCCAAACCTCTGATGTAAGAGCTTTGTTCTTTGCTCTCTGCACTGGAGCCCCCGTGCAAAAGCCTCTCTAACGCTGTGGAGCAAAAATAACAGCGCAGTGCTGCTGTGCACTCTGTTCATCTGCTGCCACAGGGGAGCCACTGCAAACACCTGCTCCCTTACAAGGGCCAGGCTTCCTCCACTTTCTTCTTCAAAACATGTATTTTCTTTTAGCGCCCTTTTCATTGCCTGGGACATGGCTTAATGTCCCCACGATGGCAATGAAGTTTATAGGAGCAGCTTACAGCTTCCTCAAGTAAATGTTTGATGTGGATAATGTTAGTTGTGGGTATGTTCTGATTATTTGAAATAAAGATGATTTCAAAAGACTTACTCCTGTAAGCCCTCCCTGTGAAGGACATTTAAAACCTCAGCTCTCCCAGTTGTTTGGAGACTGGATGTGGGAATCAGTCACCAGGCTGGCGCCTTTCTGCAAATCATTGGTCAAATATCACAGGATACGTTGAGACAGCAGTTCAGACTCTTCAGACGTAGATCCTTGGGTTCATATGTAAGTGTCTGCAAGTAAAGGGACAGGCTGGTAGTGCCAGGAGTTCAAACTCTTCTGAAATGGATCCTTGGATTGGTGTGTAGGTTTGTGCAGGTACAGGGACAGGCTGGTAGTGCCAGGAGTTCAAACTCTTCTGAAATGCATCCTTGGATTGGTGTGTAGGTTTGTGCAGGTACAGGGACAGGCTGGTAGCACCAGCAAGGTTGTTACAGCGGGCTGCAGTGTGTGGGAGGATTTAGAGATGTGTGTTCTGTTAACTTGTCTGCTTGCCTCAAATACTTCACTGTGATGAGAACTCACGCACAGAACAGCTGCCAAGGTCAATCACCTCACTTTAAATACATAAATATATCAATATAAATATTTATGTGTGTATATTTGCATTTCACTTTGAATTCTATATTGCCCTTCCTAAGTGCCATCCCCAGATGCTCCCAGTGCCACCCCCTGTGCCAGGGGGTTGTGAGGGGCAGTCATCCCTGCCCTCTCTGAGCTGGGCACCCCTGCACTCCTTGGAACCTCACAGAACACCTGGGATTCAGGTGCTCAAATTCCCTTTTCTCTACAAAATCAGCAGCAAGCTGCCAAATTACCACTTCCCACTAGTTGTAAGTGCTCAGCAGATAAAGGCAAGCGTTTGTGTGGGAATGAACTGGGGATTTTAAGCAAGCTCAGTGGGTGTTTCTATGACTTTAGCCCAGTGGACAGCACAGGCTGTTTCGCTCCGTGCTATTGTTGCATGACATTCCTCTTGGCACAATGTTTATTTTTAGCCAGAGACTATCACAAGTATTTTTCAGCAGGACTGTCACTGCCCCTGAACAGGGAATCATATTACTGCAAGAACTTCACTGAAACAAAGAAGATAAATTGGACAAATGGGAAATTATAAATCTAGACCAACCCAGACTTGCACGGGTAACTAATGTCACTTTTTTACAGGCAGTGTGCCATCCATCCATCAGAAAGGAGCAAATGGTATTTCAGGAGATAACTCATTCCTGGTTTACTCTTGAGTTCAAGGCTCAGGTATTATTCTTGACTTAACCCAGATACAGGCTGTGAAAGAAGACAAAAAAGCCAAAAAAACTACTAAACTAAATTTATTTGGGGCAATAATATAAGATCATAATAATTTGTATACTATGTTGATTTAACTCATACTTCATGAGAAAAACCTGTAAGTCTCTAACCTTTTTCTGCTGTGTGTCTGTTGAGGAAAAAAGAGCTAACAAATGCAACCTGAACTTTAAGTTTTCTCTTGAATATTATTTAATATTAAAATACATATGCACTGTCTCTGAAATCCTTGTATATGGTTCTATATTGGCTGCAGTAGGAACAGTTTAATAGCTGTAATATTTTAAACCTTATTAGAAATATATGTGAAACTGTACAATTGGATGTTTAAAAATCCAGTGTTTTGGTTACTGCAGCATTATTATTTTTGTGCTTTGAAGTGTTTTATCAGTTTGGAGTTTTTGTTGTAGATGAATGGAAGAAGAAAGTCAGTGAATCCTATGCCACAGTCACGGAACGCTTGGAGGATGACCTGCAAATCAAGGAAAAGGAGCTGGCAGAGTTAAAGCATGTTTTCAGGTAAAATATTCTGTGAATCTGTTTATCGATTTATTTAAAATGACTATTTGTTATCAAACAGTATTTCCAGTTTCAGGTGTTTTATATGGACAGAGTTTCTCCTGTGTGGAATGCATGTTCCTTATGTCTATTTTTGGGAGTGTATTATCACAGTGCTGGGCAGAGGCCCACAGCAGAGTACCAAAATTAGTGGCTGCTGATTATTAATGCCAATATTTTACAACAAACACCTCTATTTGTAAAATAGTTAGCTCTAGTACAATGTCTGATTTTGCTGTGCACTTTTCAGTTTTGCTGATGTGTTTCTGCAGCCAGGAATATTGCTGAAGCGTACCACTGTGAGCAAACACAAAAGCAGTGGGTTCAAAGTTAGGATGGGACTGGTTTTCTCAGGACAGCACACACACTCAGGCTCACCCAGCTGAGTAACACAGACCTGTTCGTTACCTGCAAAGCTCCAGTGCAGCCAACTCCCAGCTCACAGACTGGAAAGGAGCTGAGAAAAGTATTGAAACTTGTTTTTTATTGTAACCTTGTTAAATACCTGTAATGGTTGCTCCTCCCTCAGGGTGGGTTTATTGTTACACAAATCCGAGCGTTCTGCAAACTCAGGGTCACGGGTGTGCTGATAATGAATGGAAACTTCTATGGGCAGGCCAAAATTGAGATTCTCCAAAGCAATATTAACTGTAGGTGTATTTTGTTTTCAACAAATGTAATTACTTAGTGTCTGATGGATTACTAACAAATCAGTTCTGTGCTGAAGGAAACCCACAAGGCTCAATGACAAAAGCTACAGTGTCCAAGTACTGTCTCAATTAACAACCTGTAAGCAAGCACAGTGATCACTGTCCCTGTGATTTCATCTGTGGAGTATAAACCCACTTTTTTATAGGCTTTTCCTGGTTATTCTTTTCATTTAGCAAGATGGCCCCTGCTATATGCATGTCCTACTCACCATTTTAAAATCAATGCACATATTTTAAAAACACATCATACTTATTATTACATTAATATAGACGCTGAGTTTATATGGATTGTTTATATTTTTAAAGAGTCTTTCTTCTGATTTCCCCTAATTCAGATAAATTTAGAATGTATATATTGTGATTGCATTGCCAGATTTCTCAGAAAACAATAAATCTGGACCACTCAACCTGATAGTAGTAAAGTATTTCTAGATTTACAGACTGTATACTGGGTATAAATTCAGCCTCGTGTCTCAAAAAAAATTACACTGAGATTTCTCTTTTAAATGTTTCCCACGTGCAAGAGGCTGTGCTGAAAGATGAAAGAAATACTCGTCTGTAAAATCCCTTTTTCAGCTCTGATGAAGCCTTCTGCAAAGTGAACCTGAATTACCGCACAGAGAGCGGGCTCTCGCTGCTGCACCTGTGCTGCGTCTGTGGGGGTAGGTGTGGGGCACCCTGCCCCAGCAAGGGTCTGCCATGGCTGGCACAGGCCTGGGCTCTCAGGGAAACCCTCAGCAGCTCCCAGCTCCGTGTGTGGGGTAGGTGTGGGGCACCCTGCCCCAGCATGGGTCTGCCATGGCTGGCAGAGGCCTGGGCTCTCAGCAGCTCTCAGCTGGGTGTGTGGGGCATGGCACCCTGCCCCAGTGCGGATCTGCCATGGCTGGCAGAGGCCTGGGCTCTCAGCAGCTCTCAGCTGGGTGTGTGGGGCACAGCACCCTGCCCCAGCAAGGGTCTGCCATGGCTGGCAGAGGCCTGGGCTCTCAGGGAAACCCTCAGCTGCGTGTATGGGGGTAGGTGTGGGGCAGGGCGCCCTGCCCCAGTGCAGGTCTGCCATGGCTGGCAGAGGCCTGGGCTCTCAGGGAGCTCTCAGCTGCGTGTGTGGGGTAGGTGTGGGGCACCCTGCCCCAGCAAGGGTCTGCCATGGCTGGCACAGGCCTGGGCTCTCAGGGAGCTCTCAACTGCGTGTGTGAGGGTAGGTGTGGGGCACCCTGCCCCAGTGCAGGTCTGCCATGGCTGGCACAGGCCTGGGCTCTCAGGGAGCTCTCAGCTGCGTGTGTGGGGTAGGTGTGGGGCAGGGCACCCCCCTGCCCCAGTGCAGGTCTGCTCTGGCTGGCAGAGGCCTGAGCTGGCAGAGATCTGGGCTCTCAGGGAAAGCCTCAGCTGGGAGCTGCCCTGCCCGAGGCTTCAATGGAGCCCCGCAAGAGCTGATCCTTCAGTCTGACCAAGGCTCTGTGCATGATGCACCATGATCCACTTCAGGTGTTCAGCTCATCCTAAACTGCTTCTGTGTGATTCGTCAATCCAAACCGATCGCAGAGCATTTCTGGCTCCACATTTCTGTCCTGGCTCAGGCTCCAGGACAGGGACCTTGATGTAGCAGCACTTTGTGGTACTTACACCACCAACTTTTCTACCATAATGAAAATATCTGTATTTCATTTCACATTGATTAAAAGAAGAATAACTGAAATGCTCTACTGAGAAGCATCAGCTGATAGGGCTTTTCCAGATAGCACATCAGAATGCACAAGGGAGGAGGGCAAGATGTGTTCTGGGATGCTCATACAAACATACTAATGGTGGGATTTTCCAGTTGGATCCACACAGCTGCTCTGTTATCCACAAAAAAGTCATTAGTTCATGTACTTGCTTTGCTCTTGTTATACAATTTTTAGCAGATATTGGCTGAGAGAGGCAGAGACTTTTAACCTGAGGTTTCAGCTCTGCAAAGTACTGACATGCATAAATGATTTTATCAATCTTAGTTAGATATTCGCCATGAGGAACAACCTGATCCTGCACTACTGAAAAATGAGTGGATCTTTACTTGTCATTTTTGAGTGCAAGATCCTATCCAAAGATGGCATCTGTACATAGTACATCAGTGCAGATGGGGTAGCTGAGAGGAAGTTTAGGAAAACACACACTTACCATTAGTTCTGTGAGCACTCAGAGAAGGGTAAAGAGCTGCTAGATCTGACATTGTCCTTGGCTACTGTCACAAGTGCTCAAAAGGCAGATGAATTTATTGAATTTATGTATTTATTCACTGTGTGTCAGAAAGGTCAGAGCAAAGCTCCTGGCCTGGACCACATTAATGGAGCCACATTAGCACTGCCCAAAATGACTGTCCTTGTGAGGATGTCCTGTGTAGGGAGAGCAGTGCTCCAGTTCTGAGATGGCAAAGGAGCTCAGTGACAGGGGAAACAGAGGTTCCAGAAGCACCTTCTGGCTCATGGAGCTCTCTGCAGCATGCTCTGCATGCTAAAGGAGGAGTTTGCTTCTCTAGAAGCTCAGCTACCCTTACCAAACCCTCATTAAAGTGTGAACAAACAGTGAGCTGGTAGGTGGCCAGATCCGCAGTTGTCCCAACCAATGAGATATTTCCATCAATCTCATCATTCTAAAGTTTCAAAATATATATTTTAGTACTTGCCTCAGGTCAGCAGTCAAGAGATTTATTTCTCTGCTTTCAAACTCACACAGGAGCTTCTTGCCTCATCTGCATGTTCTTCCCTGTAACTGTCTTTTCTCCACTTTTCTCTCTAAAGGCAACAAATCCCACATCAGAACTCTCATGCTAAAAGGGCTGCGCCCATCCAGACTAACGAGAAATGGATTTACAGCTCTGCACTTGGCAGCTTATAAGGTAAATTATTTTAAATAGAATTGATGACGGGAAATCAGAACTGAGCAACTGATTTGTCTGAACTGTCCAGATGAGCTCTCTAGTTCATTATTTCTGGTGAAAATGCAAGTTTCACATCTGTGGTGCATAGGAAAATGCCCCATAAAGATCCTATGCACAGGAATCAGCGTGTGCTTTTGCAATGTCATCCGTGCAACTCCAGTGCAACATCCAGTGCAGCTCGAGACAGAGGAGCTGTCCAGTGCCACGGGATAAAATCAGGACAGAGACCTTTTTAACAGCCAGGCCTCAGTAGAGAGAGGAGAGAGGCCTGGTGCTGGGCAGAGCTGGCCCAGCCTCCCGTGGCACTGAGCCCCTGCGCCACGGCTGCTCCCTCTCCATCACAGCCAGGGCTGGGCTGCTCCTGCAGCTGTGAGAGCCTGTCCCAGGAATGATGTGGGTTCATCCTGGCCTGCAGGACAACGCGGAGCTGCTGACGGCGCTGCTGCACGGCGGGGCTGACATCCAGCAGGTCGGGTACGGGGCGCTGACAGCGCTGCACGTCGCCACCATCGCCGGCCACCACAAGGTACGTGTCCCTTGGCTGTGCAGCACTCAGGTGAGTGCTGGCGTTGGCAGGTCATTCTGGTTTACTGTCTTTCAAAACAAAATTCAGAACTGGTTTAAGTACAGCTGGATTTTGTTTAATTTTTTCTGCACATATCTGTGCATGTATTTTTACACTGACCAAACATGCACAAAAGGACGCCGGTCAAAGGTTGGACTTGATAGGTCTTGGAGGTCTTTTCCAACCTTGGTGATTCTTTGATTCTGATAGTTCAGTGCAGAATGATGGTGGAACTGTTAACCTGAGCCCTGACTGGGATGGTCCCATTCACAGGTATTTGCTGTCTCCTCTGTGGACAGTACAAAGAGGTCTTCTCTGAGCACTCTGGGGTCTCAAGCAATTTCTAAAACATCTGGGCCTTCTGCCCTAAATGTCAAAGGCAGACCTGCTGTTCCTTCCTTGTCCTGAGCTCCTGCTGAGGTTATGGGCAAGTTTAGGGTGCTCACAACCCAACAGTATTAACTCAATAAGAAATAAACTGTTAGAAGTATTGAAAAGTTTCTTATTTCTTCCTTTGGAATGATCAGCTCTGTATCAGAAGAATCTGAATAAATTGAGTGGGACTCTATATATATATATAAACTCATTTGGTTCATCTTCTGCTCAGGGAACCAAGGATTCATGGTCCAAGTTCTTGCTTTCCTTCTTTACTTAGCTGTGAATTTTTCAGTCAGCTTAGAAGTTCCTCTGCCAGATAAAGTAGCTTGTTTTGTCCACAATTTCATTAATATTCATGGAAACATGGAATAATTTTTTCAAACCCCCTTATAAGGGTGAGTTTTTACCCTTGCCCTTTTCCAAAAGACAAAGTCCTTATGTCTGTCTCATGGGGTTTTTGTTGGCTCCTTCTAACCTTCAGAGCGGCTTAATTAATTGTCTTTGAAGTGAAGATCATTAACTTGAGTGGTCAAAAAACTTCTGAATAAACCTTTTGTAAGAGAATTTTAAGAAAAATGGCAAAGTAAGACTATTGTGCAAGTTGTTTAAAGTATTGTTTTGAAATAACATTTGGTTGTGCAAGGAGAGGGAAGCATTAGTTCCCCTTGTTCTTTAGGCTGTGCTGGTGTGAGCCCCTCTGGGATGCTGTGGCTGCCTTAGACCAGCCCTCCCAGCTGCTTTCTCTGCAGCTTGGGAACGTCCCCTGGGTTACAAGCTTCGCCTTCACTCACCGTCAGTCTCCTGAGGATAAAAATCTTTGGGTTTTTTCCTACTTAGTTTCTGAAGTATTTCTATCCTTGCACATCCCTCCAGCATAGCCTCCTACTTGTGATGCCTATGACAGCTTTCAGTGCTTTCTAACACTCCTTTCTTCTTTCCTAGAAAGATATCTTGTCTGAGAGACTATCAAGCCTGTCTCTGCACCCCTCTCATCATTTACACTTGAGTGGAGTTTGCTTAGTACAGCGCACAGAATTCTATTTATCAGGGGATCACAAAGCAGCAGGCATGGCTGCCATTGCTACAGCCTGGAAAATGTGTCAAAACCCATCTAATTTTATGTTCATCATCAGGGGTGGATCCACATCACTCAACACAGTTTTTTCACCTTGAAGATCCACCTTGAAAGCTTCTAGATGAATCTAAATTTTGAATTCCAGCTCCCAAAGAGTTTGAGGAGAATATGGAGTTATTAATTGGAGTTATTCACATCCCTGAATGTGTTACAGCCTCACACTTCATGGCTAAATTAAAATCAGGCTAATCCAAAGACATTTCAGTCATATCAGTGTAAAAGCTTCAGGCCCAAACTTCTCTTTTCAGAGACAACAGCTACAACTTCAGTTTTATCATGGTAGTTTGCTGGAAAATGTCTTAGTAGAGTAATCATTTGAAAGCCACCAAACCATTAAATCCCTGGCCGGCTGGCTCTCTGTTCCCACCTCTGGCCCACCAAGATATTGAAAATAGACCAGACACAGGAAACACCGTGGAGGGAATCAGCTGTGTTAGCTAAATAATGGAGTGTGTTCTTTATTTAGCAGCTGAGCATATTCCCACCTATCCCCTGAGTGCCTGTTGCTGAGCTGATAGAACAGCCAGCAGAAGGATCTCAGGGGATCTTTCTTCAGATTTTTCTTATGTAGTCAAATGCTTTTTTGAAATCAGCAGCAAAACACATGTGACATTTGGCAAGGGAAATTCTGACTGTATGTAAAGGGGGCAGGGGGATCACAGCGAGAGTGATGCAGCACTGAGGGCATTCCAGGGAGGATGCAGAACCCCCACACTTGGCAATAATCACACCTGGCCCTGCAGTGCTGCCTCCAGGGGAAATCATAGCTGATGCCATAGAAAAATGGTTAAAAATAATGGGAAATGGATTCATTTACATTTGTCAGGGCACAGACTTTGTGCAGAAAATATCTTCAGGCCTTTCTATGAAAAAAGAGTAATTGAAATTTTGTAAAGAAGCAATCCCTGTACACTGATGTTGCTTGGGAAGAGTTTGTGTTCTCAGAGCCCTCGAGAGTTGCATGGGTTGGACTGACTGTCCTTGTTGTTGCATGTTTTATGTGATTTGGGGGTCTCAGCTGAGCGAGCAGGTGGCAGAGGTGCACAGTGACAGCTGGCAGTGGCTGCCCTCCTCCAGGGGCTGTCCATGGGCAGGCACTGGTGTGAGCAGCACAGTGCAGGATGGCCCCTGCCCTGCCCTTGGTAGCCTTTCAACCCCAGCTCTTTACCTTGTCCTGACTCATGGTCCTGGTCCTTCATCATCGTGACTTTCAAATCTTTGCACCCATCAAACTGGTATGCAGAATTCCTGAAGCAATCCCCAGCCCAAGCCCTCTGTGTGCCCAAGGACTCCCTCATGCTTCAGGAAAACCCCTCAGGTTGTAGAACCCAAAGTGGTTTCATTCAGCCTTCTATTTTGGCAGCTATGCAGCAAGGCATGTCCTGAGAGTTCATAGCTTTCAAAAAAAACATGGGCCTCCTGAAGGACCAAAAAAGTAGAAATTTGAAAGAAAGCACTTAGGGTTATTTATTGAAGCCAAAGAGCTCTTATGTTCTAAAATACAAAGAAATCTTTCCGTGTTTGAGGATTTACCTTCACACATTTAAATTTAAAAGGATCTTTCATTTTGTGTGACTTTTTCACTTCTAAAAACTCTGGTATGTTTACAGCTCTTTGTTCATAATGGCTAGAAGAAAATTAAAGGTTGTTTGAGAATATCCAGACAGCCATTTCTGTGCCTCTTACTTAATAAATCAGATTTTTTAGTGGCACACCAATTTTCAGTCTCATTTATAAAGCATCAGTGACATTCAGGGTTCAGTTCAAGTACTGTAAGCTAATCACTTTTACATGCTCTGCTCCTTTCTAACCCGTTTGTTTGGGGCTGTTTGGCATGTTTTAAATGGGGGGTGTGAGGTCTCGAAGTGCTGTTTCACCAGCTGAGCACGTGCAATGCATGCACGGAGCATTGCAATGGGCCCATAGCCCAAACCCCAGTGCTGGTGGTGGGCAGGCTGCTGTTCCCTTGCAGGCTGTGGACATGCTGCTGCAGCACGGGGCCTACGTGAACGTGCAGGACGCCGTGTTCTTCACGCCGCTGCACATCGCGGCCTACTACGGCCACGAGCAGGTAACGGGCGCTCAGCCCTGCCCCGTGAGGGGCACCCTGGGCCTGCTCCTCTCTTGTGCTGGCTGGGCTGTGTCCATTCACCACAGGGAATGCTTTTCACACTTAATGTGTGCTTGCTTTTGAGAATTTTAATATTCTCATAGACATGTAACTTGAAAATGAGTTTCCTATTGAATCTCTTCTCCCTGTTTTAACTTTACAGAGATGCCCATGTATAGTATTACCCAATGCACTGTTGGATCTGGTTTTCTCAAGGTTTTATTTTCATGTGATATTTTAATCAACCCTAATTAATTATTTAGGTAACCCACCTGTTACTGAAGTTTGGAGCCGATGTGAATGCGAGTGGTGAAGTTGGGGACAGACCTCTCCACCTGGCTGCTGCCAAAGGCTTTCTCAACATCACAAAGCTTTTGATGGAAGAGGGAAGCAAAGCTGATGGTAAGAAAAGATATTTAAAAATCCTCTTTAACACTGTCTTTTCTAGACGGAGTCCTAGCTTCCTAACACATACTCTTTGTATGTGTGTCTGTGTATCATCTTTGGACAACTGAAACAAGAAAACAGCAGTTGGAAAGCTTTCCTTGGTTAAGCATGCTGGTTTGTCATCTCACGTTTACTCTATTTTCAGTAATAAGTTAGAGGTAAAAAACAGGGGCAAAAAACAAACTTAAGATTAATATACAGAGGTGGCTCATTATTTAGACATTGATTCAGGTAGGGAACATGTGGCCATGTGGTGGGAATCTGTAGTCAAAGTGACTCAAATGCACAGAGAACTAGTGAACAAGGTACAGGAGAAGGATTTAAAGTAAAAATTATGCTACAAGTAATTTAAAATAATTCATAAGGAAGTCAAAATTCCACAGAGACTGTTTACAAGGGCCTGGAGTGCCAGGACAAGGGGAATGGCTTCACACTGGCAGAGGGCAGGGTTAGATTAAACACAGGGAAAAATCCCTCCCTGTGAGGGTGGGCAGGCCCTGGCACAGGTGGCTGCCCCTGGATCCCTGGAGGTGTCCACAGCCAGGCTGGACACTGGGGCTGGAGCACCTGGGGCAGTGGGAGGTGTCCCTGCCCACAGGGAGGGCCTGAAAGATCAGGGTCCCTTCTAACCCAGGCCATTCTACGATTCTGTGAAATACTGAGCAAATTCCAAATTATTTAAAGATTAATTTCTTATCCTCAGAGTAAGGGACAGAAATGTTTTTTGGGACGTAGCAGTACATTGCTTGGAAATGTACTGCTCGTTAATACATCAATTTACCAAGTTCTCTGGGAGTCCTGCCTGCAATCACACATCCTCCTCCTGCAATAAAAATGCATGGAGGGAAGCAGCACAGTCAGGTCTGTGCGTGCTGTTTTCAGAAGTGAGCTCAGGGTGTTTCAGCCTCGATGTGTATGCTCTGGGCTGAAATAATTATAATAAATGGGGGGAAAAAGAGACATTCTCTCATCATGACAAGGCAGTGGGAGGTTTGCCCTCTGTTAGAGAGTTTATTCCAAAAGGAAAGAATCTGGGGCACCATTTCAGGTCCTTTTCTTTAAACTCAAAATCTTCTGCACAGAAAAAAAGAAAAGGGAGACTGGAAGCGGGAAGCCTTTTGCTCTTAAAGTAGCACACTTTGAAACTTGCTGTAAATGCAGCAGCAGAGGAAAAGTCTTTAGTGCCCAGGAAAGAAAGGAACTGGGAAAAGAACCTGAATAAATTTGGCACTGTTCAGTGCAGACCAGTAATTGGGGTCACAAACTTGAACTGTTTCTTTTAACGCAATGTGAGCCCAAACCCACAGCAATTGCCCGTCCCATAAGCAGGCAGAAGGCTCCCTGGCATGGGGAGCTCCATGACATCTGGCAGGCTCCAGCATTCCCATCTGCAGATGAAGGATCCCCCAGGGACACTCTATCCAACTGCCCTTGGAATATTTTGCTACGACTAGTAGATGCCAGCAGTTCTGTGCTGCCTGGATGTTCCCAGTTCTCTTGATGTTGTTATTGTCTTACTTTTGCTTCAAAATTGCTCTTTCTAAAAGTCATTTATAGCTCATGATTCCTTCATGGAAAGCTTTGTCAAAAGACTCAATAAACTTGCAGCTGGAAGAAAGCAGTCATGCCCCAAGTTCAGAAAATCACCTTGACAGTGCACTGCAGGTGGCACAGAGCAATGTGGGTTTGATATCCAAAAGATCACAGAAATTTCAATTTTGAACAAATGCACTCACAAATATTGTTCCAGGAGGTTTCAAAATGCATAGACGCAACACATAAAATTCTACTAAATATCCCAAACCACCCCAGACACACTGTGTTAAGGATAAAATCCTTTCTGTGGTCTTTCTCTTGGTGAACCGGCAGTGAATGCTCAGGACAATGAAGATCATGTGCCTCTGCACTTCTGCTCTCGATTTGGGCACCATGATATTGTCAAGTTCTTACTGCAAAGCAGCTTCGAGGTGCAGCCCCACGTGGTGAACATCTATGGAGACACACCTCTACACCTGTGAGTGCCTGGAGCAGCTGCTGACGGGTTTGGGGCTCTTGGGAAGGCTGGTCTTGCTAACTGCTCTGTACTGGCTTCCTCTTCAGTGCCTGTTACAATGGGAAGTTTGAAGTTGTCAAGGAAATAATTCAGCTCTCAGGAACAGAAAGTCTCACTAAAGAAAACATATTCAGTGAAACAGCTTTCCACAGGTGAGGTGTTCAAATGCCAATGTCAGTAGAGCTCCACTTACACACGAGTGCAGCGCAACACCCAAAATTACCAATGTCTCACAACACCCAGAATTACAAATGTCTCACAACACCCAAAATTACAAATGTCTCACAGCACTCAGAATTACAAATGTCTCCCCAGCACCCAGGTGAGGGACAGAGCAAGCCAGGAGCTACACAGGGAGGGTGAGTTTGTGTTATGAGATCCATGACAGGGTATGAAGAAAGAGGCACAACAAGGCAGTGAAAATCAGATTCACCAACACCTGATTGGACAGTGATTCCTCTCCTTGTCCAGTCTGAACAGACTGTTTGCACAACTGTGCAAAATTAGGTGATTCAGCAATAATTAGAATGTTTTGAAACAATAAAAATGAATATGCTCTGGTGGATTAATCATGCATTTGCACATTTCTAATGATCCTTTATTACTGCATTTTTATCTCTTTGTAATTCTTTTTTGGCTACCCAAAGTACTTCTTTTATGGACTATGGAACTCACCACTCCCTTTGCTTCTGCAGCGCTTGCACCTATGGAAAGAACATAGAACTTGTCAAGTTTCTTCTTGACCAGAATGTTGTAAGCATCAATCATCAAGGGAGAGATGGACACACAGGTAACATCTCCATACTTACTGGGTATGAGGGTATATACCAGCACCACAATATTGGGAAGCCATGCGCCACCAGGATTTCCAGCACCCCAGTACCTTTCAGGCAGAGCACAGCTTTCTTGAAATATTTTTACTGGAGGCATAGAAGTGATAAGACTTCAGTGAGGAGGTATCAGGCTCATTAGGGTGTATATGAGTAACAAAACCTGGTGTAAACTGTTCCTCCTATATTAAGGCTTCTAAGTAGTGTTACAAATCATTCTGCAAAGAGATAGGCTTCTGGAATGTAGTGTCTGAAAGGCTGCACACCTTGCTGTCCCCACTACACAGAGCTGCCTTTGTTTCCACTTGCTTTTTCTCACATAGAGTCAGTAAATGTGGTTTGCAGGTGGCAAAGTGGTGGCACATTGTGCAGAGGCAATAGACTGGTTCTTGCAACCTTAATGTTTAATTTTCACCTCTTGCCTCAGGTATTTTTTGACAACATATTTATTTATCGAGATGATCAATTTGCACTTTACAGTTGTTGCTGCAGTCCCATTGCTGTGTTCTGACAGCTGTGCTCCCCGTGCTTCTCTGATGTTGCAGGATTGCACTGTGCTTGCTACCATGGCCACATTCGCCTTGTGCAGTTCTTGCTGGATAACGGAGCTGATATGAATCTTGTAGCTTGTGATCCCAGCAGGTCCAGTGGAGAAAAGGATGAGCAGACCTGTTTGATGTGGGCTTATGAGAAAGGTATTTCAATTTTCCAGTTTCTGCTACAAAACCCACAGAAGCTGTGCAGGAAGGAGAGGGCAGCATGGGAAGGAGATAACACTGACAAACAACCTGCCAATGTCTGCAGACAGAGCTCCCACCCCCTGCTCCCCAGGCACTGGCACAAAGGCTTATAAACACCAGGCCTTCAATTGTCATCTCAGATCTCTGCTAAACATTCATTTAATCCAGCACAAACTCAAGAAGAGTTCACTGAAGACTATTGTCAATTTCCATTGCAGGATTCCTGCAGCAGGGTTTTCCTTTGCCATATCTTGCATTTTAGGAGTAGGTGGACTCGAGTAAATAATGTGCTTGTTTTTACTGGCAGAAATTTCCCATATTTCTACATTTAAGAATCGCGGTAGGTTTAGATTAGCATCACCATGTCTTTGCATATTTTGTAGTCACGTTTTACATTTTTTGTAAAAATCCCTTGATTTAGTATAAATTAATTTTTTTAAAGTCTTTTGAGTTACCAGCAAATCTTTGTGTTTCACTTTCCCTCCTAGGTCACGATGCAATTGTGACCCTCCTGAAGCATTACAAGAGACCTCAGGATGAATCCCCCTGCAATGAATACTCCCAGCCTGGAGGAGGTATGGGCTGAGCAATCATTTTATTCAAGGGGCCTGATCCAAAGACTGCTGAAATCTCTGGAAGTGCTCCACCCATGTCAGAGAGCTCTGGGTCAGTCCTGTCCAGCACAAATAAAATCACAGTCATGAGACTCAGCATTTTCTGACCATACTCAGATTCCTTTCAAGGCTGCAGCCCTCCAGCACCCCAGTCTGCTGTGCTTGGTATAGTGAGGAAAATGAACTGTATCCCAGCCCAAGCCAGCTCCCATCAGATGTGTTGGTGTGTTCATCTGAATTATCACCCTTTATTATTAATTCTTTCTGGCATCGACTCATTAATTTATCAGCACCATCACTTATGTTGTCATTGAACTCCATAATTTCCCTCTGTTCTTTATTTCAGACGGTTCCTACGTGTCAGTGCCATCTCCCCTAGGGAAGATTAAAAGCATGACAAAAGGTATTTGCAATGGCAGATTGGGAAAACGTGAACTTTTGTGGTCCTTTGATCCAATGTGTTTGTCAGCCTGAGCATCCTACACAGGATTCATTATTCCTGGACTTTTTATGGTACATTGTTCTATTTCCCTGGGATAATTTTAGGAAACAATATACTTAGCTTTGATACTCAGTATAATGACAATTCCTGTATTTGTCCTGTTTTCATTAATTTTTAAAAAATATATATATTTCTTTTTATTTCTTTAAGGAAAGGCTGTGATGTGAAATAGCACTAATGAAATACCCATTTCTCCATGAATGCAAAGTATCATTTAAATCATACCATAGAATGCCTGAATTATCCTTATAAGAAAATTTCTGTCCAAAAATTATTTGTGTTGCTCTGAAAGAAATACAGCTGAAACATTCAGATAAATATTTTAAGATATTTAAAAAAAATTCCCCCTTTTTTTTTTTGTGGTACTTTCAATTTTCTACTTTAAATGTTCACTCTGAATGTCATCAAATCCTTGCATCCTTCACATAGCAGCATCAAAATGCTCTGTTTAGAAATAGTCTGATAAACTTTATAATAATAAACTAAAAATTTCAACAAGATAAAGACATTCGACAACTAAATTCAGTTGCAAAGTTTAGATTCCACATGTCACCAAGAGCCAGTCAGCTCTGGAATAGCATCCCCAGCCGCAGCAATGGGCACTGGCTGCACAGAAAGAAGGATGAATTCTCCATGCAAGGAATTCTGCACTGCCCTCCCATGGTACAGGCAGAGTTTGGGGATGTGGGGCAGTGCTCATGGCTGGCAGGTGCTAAAGCCAGGAGGGCCCAAGGCAGCCTGTGGCATTGCAAGGATGTGTCTGTCACTGGGCTTTGCTGTGGCAGGGAGCAGGCTTAGCAGTCACTTTACAGGGAAAAATCAGCTTTCCCAGTGCGAGAGTTCTGAATTTCAGTGCTTTTATGCTTGGTCCTCCCCCGGCCATGTTTTACAAACAGAATGGGTGTTTCTCTTGCAGAAAAGGCTGATGTCCTCCTCCTCCGTGCTGGTTTGCCATCACACTTCCACCTGCAGCTGTCTGAGATAGAGTTCCACGAGATCATCGGCTCAGGTACCAGAAGTGAAAGGGCATTCACTTTAAATGTTTGATGTTCATAACAAACGTATTTGAGCTTATTTATTTTAAACTATTTTAGGGTCTTTTGGAAAAGTCTATAAGGGACGATGTAGAAATAAAATTGTTGCAATCAAACGGTAAGTTTATCAGACTATTCCATCCTGCTTGGTCAATCACCTAGTTTGAAGCATTTCAAAAGCCCATACTTTATGATACCTCTGCCTTCTGCTTCCTCTCATGTCACTCCAAGCTACCGAGCCAACACCTACTGCTCCAAGTCTGATGTGGACATGTTCTGCCGCGAGGTTTCCATCCTCTGCCGACTGAACCACCCCTGTGTCATCCAGTTCGTGGGAGCCTGCCTGGATGACCCCAGCCAGTTTGCCATTGTCACCCAGTACATCTCGGGGGGATCGCTCTTCTCCCTGCTCCACGAGCAGAAGAGGTACTGCCCTCATCCACCAGCAGGCCTGCTTACAGAATTTGGAACAGCAGGGAATCTAAGCTGATGTAAATATCCATTTCAGCATAGGACAACAGGGAAAGGAGCACCCTAGAAAATGTTGAGCTTTGGTTCAGTTTATTAGGTGTACAAGGTAAACTGATAAGTCTTCACAAGCTTGTTGTTGTCATTATTTTACAGTATATAGATTTACTTTACATAGATTATGTAACATTATTTTGTATGTAAAACAGTTTTAAATGTTGCACAATTTACAGATCAGAATAATTTTCAACTGTCTATTAACTTCAAGTAATCTTTTATTTTATTTTACAAAATACAGAATTCTTGATCTGCAGTCTAAATTAATCATTGCTGTAGATGTGGCCAAAGGCATGGAGTACCTCCACAATCTCACACAACCCATCATACATCGGGATCTGAACAGGTCAGTTTCTGTCTCTAACCTAAAAATTTAGACAACATGAAGGCTCAAAGCCACAGGGACACTGTGCAGTGTCCTGCAACCCCAGTGTCTCATTAGCACTCAGTTAAAATTAATCTCAGGGGTTTTATACAAACCTGTACAAGTCACAATAGCTGAACTGTGGTTGTCCTGGAAGGCTGCAGTAGCTGACAGTGTTTTCCTGCATCTGTTTGTTTTCCTGAATCTCTGTTTTCCAGTGCTGAGTTTCAGCCTAACGCCATCTGTCAAAGGGCACTTGGTCACATTCCCTCATCACTTGCTCTCCATCCCTTTGCTTTGTCTCTTTTACTGTAAATATTTCCCCCCAGTCACTGAGTTGGTGTGTTTCTCGGTTTGCTGAGCTCCTTTGTTACAGCTAACAAGCAGCAAGCAGCTCTGATTGCTGCCCCTGGGAGCTGGGATCTTGCATGAGACTGGGCACTCATCCATCTCCTTCGTGGTGTCCCAGTGGGAGCACTGAGGCCTCAGCATCTGCAGGGAAATGCCTGTTCTTTCTGTTCTAGCTATGGGAACAGTCCTGTGCATGTTGCAGCAACAGGGGATGAAATACCGAGCTGCACTGATTGCAGGGTTGGAGGTGAAAATGATCCTTTGCTAAAGCCAAAACATGGTCCTTTGCTCTTGAGGGCTGGCAGAGCTATAGGCAGGCTGGAATGGCATCTGCACTGTGCTTTGAGCCTCCTTCACATACCTGCATCCCTGCCAGCGCTTCCAGGCCACAAACCTGGGTTGTTCCAAGGGACAGCCTTGTTCCTGAGGCAGTGGCACAAGCCTAGAGCCCCATGGCTGACTCTGCAGCCTGTGGAACTGCTCTAGGGGAGCCAAGGCTCAGACCTCACAGTGCAGCCCCATGCCTTGGTGGCTCTGAGGAGAACAATTCTGCATTGCAGGATTTTAGATAGTTATTTCCTCAAAAGAAAACCCAAACCAGTACCTTCCTGGAGAGCCAGAAAGCCCCACAGCAGCCATACAGATCATATTTGTAAGGGTCAGAAGATAATGTGCTCTGGGGCTGTTGGTGCCATTCATGTGTGCTGCTGAGAGAACTCAACTTCTGAAAGTTTAGTGCAAGAGCAGGAGTCATGTTTGCAGCATGAGTCCCAGCCAACCCACAGGCACAATTACCAGATGAAAATCTTTGCAACAGCTTAAGAGAAAGACTAAGAGTGAAATTCTGTGTTAAGTTTTGCCAGTGGCTTCACAGGAGCCTCATATTTTTTACTTTAAATTTTCGCATAACTCATAACCACCTTTGTGAATTCTGAAATCTAATGCACTGCATATAATGCATTAAATAAACCTGCAATATGGCTTGACAGAATAGAGAGGAAAATTAATCTTTCGTGTCTCTACCCTGGAAAAGGGGTTATCCTTCCATTTGAAGAATAATTGGGAGTTTTATTTTGCTTTTCAGTTCTGACAGCCATCAGAAATGGTGACATGCATCAACTTATTTCCACTTACACCATGGTGAGGGATGGCAGCCACGATGATTATAGCACTTTAATAAAAGAGAGACCATTTTATTATCCATTTAATTTAAGCCATAACAGCTGAACATGGCTGGAGGAAGCTTTTGAGCGACTGACCTGCTTTTGATGACTCTAACTATCTGTGAACACTTCTGAGGGCTGCTTGGTGAGGGAGATGAAAGAGAGGATGGCAGCCTGGTGTAATGAGGATGGAGTCTGCGACTCCTCTTTGTTGAAATATCCCTTGTGAAATCTTAAAATATCCATTGCTTTTCATTACACCCACAGCATGTTAAAGGCAGAAGGATCTTTTAATGGCCCGAATCCCTGTGAAAGGGACATGCTGAGCCTGTCACTTGCCATGGGAGAGAGAGGCCTCCGTGCCTGGCAGACCCAGCACCACATCCTTTCACAAAGCCAGGATGATTGCACACTCCTCGTTCTTATCTCATTTTCTTCCTTCCATGGTTTCATGACGAGAACAATGCCTGCTCTCACCACTGCAATCCCTGTGTGACCTTAACAGAAGACAATTAATTTCTGATTCTGCTGAATGCAGTATTAGTCTTCTGCCAGCTCAGTTCAGCTTGGATTTTTCTTGCTGTATTTCTCAAAACACAAGCTTAAGAGTTACCTGTTTCATCTGAGGTTTTCAAATTTTCAAGTGCCACTGAGGCAATAATAGCATTTTTAAGATGTACCTTCCAAGCCTTATTTCTGTGGGGTGTATTTTTTACTTTAAAAAAGAAAAATCAGTAACTGTCATTCTTCCTGGAGGTAGCAGACTGACAAAGCCCTCCCAGAGCCTGCTTCCTGCTCTCAGATATGCCCATCAGTGCACTCAGCACCAAGATGAGCATTTCAGCACTGTTGCTCAGATCCTGGCCCAGGAGAGGTTCAGGTTGGGCATCAGGGAGAATTTCATCACTGAAAGGGTGGCCAGGCATTGGAAGAGGCTGCCCAGGGCAGTAGTGTATTTCCCATCCCTGGAGATGTCCAAGAAACAACTGGACATGGCACTCAGTGCTCTGGGCTGGGGCAAGGTGGGGATTGGTCACAGGTTGCACCCTGTGATCTTGGGGGTCTTGGAAACTTCTTTTCCAGTCTCAAAGATTCTGTGGTTCTATGAAAGGCTGATGCATGCCATGAGGAGAAAGGGAATTTCAGTTTATTTCTCTGCTTCTCCACAAAAACTGTTAGCCTAGGTCTTCATTATATCTTGACTTGTCAAGTTGGATTTATTCAGGTCTACACAATCCTGGAATAGATTGAAGTTGAAGCTAGGGCTCAGTGCAGTTTATTCACATTGAGACATGGTGATATTTTTTGTCCCTATTGACAGAGGCCAAATTTGAGCAAAGGCCACAGCAAAGTCTGTAGCTTAGTATGACTTGTGTACCTGCACCTACCCTGGGGCACAGCCTTCAAGAGTCTCTCTAGTTCAGCCTTGTGTTTGAGTCACATTTTCATTTGGCATATGGTGTGGGTCTCAAAACAATTCCACGTGTCGTACTAAAATCATGTCAATATTTTGATGGAAAGTACGTGTGAGAGCTAAAATCAGATCAAAGATAAATCAAGAGAGTCATGGTTACAGTTTTATGGTTAAATTTATCATCCCAAGCGTTGGGTTTAGGTGAAGGTGAAAATCTTGAAGACAGTGATTTGTGGGAGTCCTGCTTGAGAGAGCTTAAATTTCTTTCTGTCCTAAGACTGTTATCTAGTAAAATTTGTGTTCCTCACTTGACTGTTCCTGTTTGTATCCGCAGCTCTAATATAAGCAAGTTGTGCTTTTTGTTGAGACCATCAATATTACTTCCATTTTCCCTCCTCATGTAAACTCTCGTGAACTTTTTAATTTCTGTTTTTCATACACTTTTCACTCTTCTGAATTTTCTTGGCTCAGCATTTGATAAACATCCTGAGAGCGCTGTTGTGTCCACATTCCTTATGCTGTGATTTGCTCAGCCCTTCCACAGCCCTGTGCCGTGAAGGTGTAGTGACTGGGGCAGGGAAATCTTCATCCCCAGAGGTACTGGAAACCTGTGACCTAGCTAAAGCAGCAGCTTGTGGGTCCTTCCCCAAGTTTCCATTTTGTTTGAAACCCTGAGTTTTTGTTGCTGATTTCTAAAAGTCTCTCTGTATTTGTTGCATACAACTCAAAGGTTGGCTTGCCCTCTCAGGGGTAATGTGTACTTTCTAACAGTAAATATGAGGCATACCTATAGACATTTAGCTATCTGAGGAGGTGATTTGAGCTCAAATATTTAGCTAGGACCCGAAAACTATAGCATTTTCACCATCTTTAAGATGCTATCAAACAATTACCTATGTTTTTTTTTCCCCAGTCACAATATTCTCCTGTATGAGGATGGTCATGCAGTAGTTGCTGATTTTGGAGGTAAGAAGTTTTTATGAAACACTTATAAATTAACCCCAAATACTCTAAAACTAAATGTGCTTTCTGAGGGGGCACATAGAAATCCCTGTGGAATTGCACTTAAGGTAGGACTTTTGTATAGTAGGTGTAATGGCCTGAGAGTAATTCTTTTTCTTGCTCTGTTTCAGAATCTCGATTTCTGCAATCCCTGGATGAAGACAACATGACAAAACAACCTGGGGTTTGTTTCTGTTGTTTCTTGTTTTGTTCCACATAATTAATATCAAACAGGCAGGCAAACACAGTTTAGGAGAAGAAGACATTGGAAATACCTTTATTGGAATAGATGGACAGGTGTAGTATTAAATCTCTCTCAATGTTTCTCTGTCTTGGTTTTATTTTTTTCCTCTGTCTTCGATAACAGAGATGAGGGAATATATATAACATCTGCAGCAGAAAACAATGCTTTGTAAGGCTATCTTTGGAGCTCTGTTGCTCCAATTCCTTACTAAAGAGTTATTTTTAATCTACTCTTCCCTACTCACATGCTGTTGGCAGGTGGTTCCTTTTTCTAACAGCTACTCAGCACTGGTTCCCTTATTTCACAGTTCTTTTCTTCACAGCAGCCTGCTGCTCACAGTCAGATTTACAAGACAGCTGTTCTCTTCGTGGGTTTGCGTCCAGATGTGTGCTGTGTGTGACTCCATGGCCAGGAATGTTCACATTATCCCAGCTGTTAACGCGGGCCGGGGTGGGTGATGGCATGGAATGGAGGGGGCAGTGCCAGAGGATGGTGGTGCTGCCCCAGGCCTTGGCAAGCAGCTCGTTAACACTCAGTAGTGGCACTCACTGTGTGGGTGGAGGGTAGGGAGCACAAGGGCTCTAAAAATCCACCCTGAACCCATTACTCCAGAGAGAGATGAGTTGCTTGTGAAGCAGCCTCAGAGCTGGGGGTCTGCAGGGAGCAGCAAGACCCCAAGAGAGCAGGCTCCAGTCCAATGCAGCTATTGCCAGCTTTTACTTCTGCCAGCTGGAGCAGTGGTTAATTCCCATCATATGGCATATGTGCATATATCTCTCAGACCACGTGATGTGGTCTCTGGACCTTGAGCCTGGGGTTCTGCTTTTATTCTCACCCTACTGTGATGTTTTAAGAAACATCTATGCCTCTATGGACCTGAGACAGCCCCAAGCTAATGCAGGTACATATCATGCACTGTAACACACTGACTGGATCTTGCAAGCCAGGTGAAAGCTTTTCCTGGCAGATTACCAATTATTTTATGGAGTGATGGAGGCAGGAAATAAGGAAACAAAGGAAAACAAGCATACAAATAGAGGAATAGGTGCTTGTTTGAGGAGGCAAACACTGCTAATGTGTGATTGCTGTTTCCTGGTGTGCAGAACCTGCGCTGGATGGCCCCTGAGGTGTTCACCCAGTGCACAAGGTACACCATCAAAGCCGATGTCTTCAGCTACGCTCTGTGCCTCTGGGAGCTGTTAACGGGGGAAATTCCCTTTGCTCACCTGAAACCAGGTAACATGCTCAATGAATTAATGTTTTAAATTTCGCTGAAGTCGAGAAGTAGCTGCACAGTGTAATTTTAACCTATACCATGCTGAAGTGTGCTATTAAGTGCTGAGATATGGCATTTGGAGAAGAGCACAGAACTATCCTATCTAGGTCTAGGACTAGCAACAAGACACTGACTACAGAGTGCCTGTGTCTCACATGAATATTGGGATTGCAGAGCCATTCTCTGGTACATCTCCTTGGTGTGCCTCAGAACAGCATCCACAAACCAGGGGTAAAGGGGGGTGTACAACAGCAGAGCAACATTTCCAGGGCTGCACTTTGCACTCCTGAGATTCTGACCCCTGGGTGTCTGACAAGAGCTCTTAGGGGACATGAGTGCTGCAGGACATGGTCAGAGCCAGCATGGGTAAGGAGGGAGGGTTCAGCCCCTGTGCCAGTGAGACCCTCACTGCTGTCTGACCTGTGACAGAGGTGGGCCTGGGGCCATGGCATGGGCATCCCAGTGTGCTCTTGGTCTGATGGAAAAAGCCTCCTTTAACCTCCAGCCTCCATCCAGCCTTTATTCCTTGGTTGGATGGCTCAGCAGTAGGTTTCCACACCTGATGGGTGTCTCACTGGTGGGCAGGGGTGTTCCTGGGGTGGGTGTCACTGCAGGGCTGTGTCTCACTGGCGGGCAGGGGTGTTCCTGGGGTGACCCCATGTGCTGATGGTTGTTGTCTCTGGCTGTCCCGTGCAGCGGCAGCAGCAGCAGACATGGCTTATCACCATATCCGCCCCCCCATCGGCTACTCCATCCCCAAGCCCATCTCTGCCTTGCTGATAAGGGGCTGGAACGCCTGTCCTGAGGTGAGTGTCCCCTGCAGAGGGAAAATGGGCACTTTGATGCCCCCAAAACCACAGTTGCTGTGGGAAGGGTCACTGCAGAAAGCCCCCAGGCAGTCAATGGGGTGTGTCAGGAAATACAGGAGAGTTGGTGAATTGAGAAGGAAAGTAAATTAACATCTAGCCTTTCAACAAAACTTAATTAATCACGTAAGGCTGATTATGACTTGAGCTGTTCCAGAATGAGTAGAAAATTCCTTGCTGCTCAGATTTTTGTAAGCAATGGTTAATGACAGCATGTAACACACATTCATTTTAAATTCATTAATAAGGTGTCATATGAAAGTGCTGACTTAGGCAGGCAATGAGATGGGTACCGTCCAGTGTCTTGTCACCACTCCCACAGCCAGTCAGCTCCTATAAGAGAAACCATCTTTTCAGAGTCCCAGCACAGTTTGTTACCCATCAGTGTGACTCCAATGTCACTTCATCTTTAGAGCTTCAGGACAGAACTATAAATCTATCGATGGCTCAATCAGCCCATGGATGGCCAGAACTTTGCACAAGATGTGAGGGAAAACTTGCCAAAATTATCTTTATTAAGGGTTTTTTGCTACCTTTCTTTATTAGGCTCTATTTTGCTTTACTAAAAGTGTTTTTCTACCATTTGTTATGGAAAAATGGTGAGTTTTGGGGCTCAACGAGTGTTCTCAAGTAAAATTCCCCACGAGGTCTGCTCAGTTTAAAGGAAAGAAAGGGAGTGGGGGTTTTGCTGGATGACCATGACATGCCTCCAAGTTAGAAAATGTATCCTTTTATTTATCTTTCATTTCATTCAAGGCTCATCCCAGCTGAAAACTAGTTCCCATGTGCCATGTCCCTGTTTCTGTTTATCAGGTAGTTGAACATCTGTTTCCCAGAAACTTTTGACAGCAGCTGTTTCCAAAGGCAAACTGGTGATTAGAAGATTAGCAGCATCTCCTGAGAAGCCTTTTTCATTGGCTAATTGGATTTGTGAGCTTTAATTAGAGCTAGAGAATTTGCCATAAGGCCTAGGGCTGAGCTCTGTAAAGAAGTAAACATTTAGTTTTATTAAGTGCAACTCTCATGGACAAGGGAGGGAGGAGGATGGCCACACAGGCAGGCTGGCCAGGAACTCATCCACTGCTCATCTCTGCTGTTGCTGTGTCTGAAGTCCTGTTCATGGCCAGAGAGAAAGTCAACCTAAAGAGCAGAGCCAATAATTTATTGATAGTTTATTTGTGATCTAGTCATCATTAGCTCAAATCTAATTGTTACAGAAAGAGAGATCAATTGCAGTTAAAGTTCATATGCACACACGTCTTCATGTTGTAGCTCAGCACTGAACTTGCAGATTTCAGATTCCCAAACAGACTGACAGAGCTATGCCATGAAATTCAGAGAGGGGGAGTGATGGGGAGGGGAAGTATGGCTCATCCCTTCCCCGTGTGTCAATCTAATCCCATTAGATCTGTCCCCTTCCATTTTTAACCCAGCTCTGGTTTTCCTGTTGTGTTCACAGGGGAGACCAGAGTTTTCAGAAGTTGTCACAAAGTTAGAGGAGTGTCTGTGCAATATTGAGGTAAGGACCTGGCTGCCAGCAGGGGAGGTCTGTGTGTGTGCGAGCAGATGGGAGTGCCAGCGGGCACAGGGACAGTGGCAGCAGCCGGGGACAGCGATGGCTTTGGAGCGGCTGGAAAAGTCCAGGGAAAAGTGGGATGCAACTTTTGAGAGAGATGACGAAGGACTTGTAAATATGCCATAATGGTACCTTTATTTTTTTTATTTTTTTTTAAATCCAGTTAATGTCTCCAGCCTCCAGCAACAGCAGCGGGTCCCTGTCTCCCTCGTCCTCCTCGGACTGCCTGGTG